ACTGTATGTTCATGTTGCCTTTTTCAAAGATCAGTTGACCATAAGTCTGTGAGTTGATTTCGGGTTCTCTATTCTATTCCATTGGTCCAAGTGTCTATTTTTATGCCAGGACCATGCAGTTTGGTTATTATAGCTTTGTAGAATAATTTGAAGTCAGGTAGTGTTATGCTTCCAGCTTTAATTTTTTTTTTTTTTTTGGTCAGGATTGCTTTGGCTACTCACAGTTTTTTGTTGTTCCATATGAATGTTAGGATTTTTTTTTTCTATTTCTGTGAAGAATGTCATTGGTATTTTGATGGAGATTGCATTGAATCTGTAGATCACTTTGAGTAGTATGGACATTTTCACAGTGTTGATTCTTCCAATCCAAGAGTTTGGAATGTCTTTCCACCTTTCTGTATCTTCTTTCATTTCATTCAGTAGTGATTTGTAGTTATTGTTGTAGAGATCTATCACCTCCTTAGTTAAATTGATTCCTGGGTTTTTTTTTTTTTTTTTTTGGGGACTGGGATTACTTTCTCAATTTACTTTTCTGCTAGTTCATTATTGGAGTATATAAATAAACCTGGATAAGGAAATTGTGGTATATATACACAATGGAATACTACTCAGCCATAAAAAAGAATGAAATTCTACCATTTGCAACAAAATGGATGAGCCTAGAGAAAATTATCCTAAGTGAAACAACCCAGGTCTGGAAAGAGAAATACCACATGTTCTCACTCATAACTGGGAGCTGAATCCATAAATAAACAAATAAAAAATAAAGAGAGACAAAGAGAAAGAAAGAAACAACAATCACAATAATACATTGAACTTTTAGAAAACTAGAATTGGGAAAGGGGAGGGGAGAGGGAGCGAGAAGGGGGCTAATGAGGAATTGGTCAGCAGACACAAAGGATGATTGCATATTGTAATGATGAATAAGCTAACTATCCTGATCTAACCACCACATACTCTACACAATTATTGAAAATCAATGTTGTAGCCCACATGTATGTATAATAAAAAATAAAAAAGTAAATAAATAAAAAAAATTTTTTTAAAGATTTTAAAAGATAAGTTCTTATTGATCACTACAAAGAAATCAAGTTATGATAAGAATAATTTTACTACTGAATCTATTGAGAACATGTCGTTGAAGATTTCATTGTGGCTATGCATGAATTATAAATACATAACATCCCTCTGTCATAATATTAAAGTATTCATACTATACCTTTCCCTAACACATTGCTGAAATACGAGTTCACTTTAATGAAATCAATACCAGGACTCAAGTTTTTAAGCAATATAATATAATTAAACCCTCCCAATCTACAGAAACAGGTTTTTTGGAAGAATTCTTTTTTTTTTTTTCCTCTAAACTGTGGTATTTTGTTTTAGTCTATCAAGTTTAGTACCAATAAAAAATGTGGTAATAGTAGTTAACCTGTATTTCCTGTCAGAAATATTCTTTCTTTAGACTTTGCTTTTATTCAAGGAAAGCAAAAGAAGACAGAAAAGCATTTATAAAGAGCAATCAGTCAATTTTTCCAATAATAAATCAAGATTTGTGAACATATCTGGATGATGATGATGATGATGGTAATAATGGTAATTATGATGGGGACAAGAGTAACAGAAATCTTGGTGATTTAGTCTTAGATGCTTTTTCTGGGTAGGAAAAATATCCCTAAAGAGAATGCCATTAAAATTCATTAATGAATCATCATAATTATAAATGCAGTGAACAATTTTATGATTTCCCTTTCTCTGAATGCAGCAATTACCTCTCCAAGAAAGGACCAAAGCCATTCATTCACTTGTTCTTATAGTGCTGACCGACTATTCGGCAACAGCTGACACAATGGCAAATAGTATGAAAAACACACACTTCAGAACCACCTGTACCATCACAAGCTGCTTCTACACATTACCCAACTTCCATACAATTCCCAAGGCTCCTTTTTTGTAGGTATAAGTCATATCAACTTCCAACCCTTAGGTGAGGGAAAGACATCTTAGATTGCAAAAATATTTGCATCATCCAGTAACTCTGATAAGGAATATAAATGCCAGTATCTGCACAGTTCCAAGTCCCATAAAACCTGTTTAATGTAGTTTTAAAAGAAGAAAGCAAAATTATACAAAAAAATGGTTAAGGGATATTAAGTATTTTATATATTTATTGATGGTTAAGAAACAGATTATATATCTCAGACACAACTATAGAAAGTCTGATATGTAATTCCTGATTGTCCACATCCAGCAGAAAAATATTTCAGTTTACCAGACAGAAAATTTAGTATCTTTGAAAAGCTTAATCATAAGGTTTTCTAAAATATTGATCAAATCGTAAGTTAACTGAAAAGGAAAGAACATATATATGTGCAACAAATTAGTTTATCAGTTCAAATGTTAGCATAGTTTGAAAATTTAGATAAAGCTTCTACTGTACAAAAACTTTGAGCACTAGATCATGGCACTGAGCACAAACACTTAATAATGATGTATACAAAGAAACAAGGTCCAACAACTTTTTTCTACCCTGAAACATAATGAATAAGTTAGACAGACCTTTCAGTCTCTTCTGTGATATTTTTAGTAGTCAACTGAAAAGGATTAAAATATGAAGGCATTTGGAGTTTCCCAAACAAAGGATTAGATAGTAAAGAAGATAAAAAGTGATATGGAAAAGAAATTCTCCACTATATCTCAAGAGCCAAACGACAAAAAAAATCTTCAGTTACCTCAATGTCACTTGTTAAAAAAAGCATCCCTGAGTCAACCTTTCTAAGCCATGTTAAATAAGTGGGGGAAAAACATAATAAAGTCTTATTTTATATGTTTCTCAGCCAGTTTATTCAATTAACCCACATATGCAGAGGGTCCATGGGACATAATGACACTTAAAAGGAAAAGTCCAAAAGAAGAGAAAAATATTCTTTGA